GCATCAAGCTCTTCGGGCGGTCGATCGGCACGGGCCCGGCGGTGACGCTGGCGACGCAGTGCCCGCGCCGCCGCCGTGGCCATCGTCGTCGACGTCGACGCCGTCGTCGACGGCGACGTTGTCGTCGTCGATTTCGACGTCGTGATCGTCGTCGTCGTCGCTGTGGTCGGTCAGAGTAGTCGTTGTGGTCGTGACTGGGAGCCGGCGGTAAGCCGTCAACCAGATACCGCCGGAACTCTCGTAGAGCTCTTAACACACAGATCAATGCTCTGACTACGAGAAGAGAGCGTTCTCGAAAATCAGCGCCGCCGCTGTGTCCATCGTCGTCGACGGCGACGCCGTCGTCGTCGATTTCGACGTCGTAATCGTCGTCGTCGTCGCTGTGGTCGGTCAGAGTAGTCGTTGTGGTCGTGATCGTTTTCGTCGTGGTGGCGGTCGCGGTCGTAGTTGTTTTCGTGGTCGTCGTCGTTGTAGGAGGAGGAAAAATGAGAAACGCAGGAAGAAGAGGAAAAAGAGGAAAGGGGTAGGACCGGGGAGGAGGAGGGAAGGAGGAATGGGTGCGGGGAAGGGATTTGGGGAGGAGGGGGACGGTGGACCAGGAGGAACAGGAGGAGTACCAGTACATGGAGGATGTGCCCTTTTCCCTACTCCTGCCTCCCCTCATCCTCCTCCTCCTCCTCCTCCTCCTCCTTCTCCTCCTCCTCTTTCCCCCCTCAACCTCTGGCTCCTTTGGGCGCCGGAGCCACAACAACAACAAACGCGATGGTTGTCTCGCGTTGCCTCGAGGCCCCGGGCCGCCCTCGACCGCGCCCTTTTCAGCCCTCTCTTGCCGGCGCCGCCGCGGCGGGCTCCCTGACGGTTGGCGCGGTGCTCGTGGGCCCATCGGCCTCGTCCTCGAGCTCGTCGTCGTCCTCGGCCTCGATATCGTCCTCGAGCTCGGCGTCGACCTCGGCTTTTTTTCGGCGGCCGCCCTGTCCGCGGCGGCGGCGGCGCAAGTGCAGGTTCCCCGTGGCCGGCGTGGTTCTGGTGAGCCCCTTCACCAGCATCCAGGCGTTGTTCCGCCAGCAGGCGTTGTTCCGCCATCCAGGGCACCAGCTGTACACCTACACCGATCCTGGGCCCAGGATGAGCCTGGTCAGGGTCGGTGCAGGTTTATAGTTCGCGTCCTCCTGGGGGGGGGCGTGGCCTTCCCCTCCCGTCGTCGAGTCGGGACCCTTGACTAACAGCAACGACGACGACGACGACGACGACGACGACGACGCGGCGGCGACGTCGGCGGCGGCGGCGGCGGCGGTGGCGGCTGCGCCGGCGGCGGCGGCAGCGGCGGTCCGCGCGGATTCCCTGTGCCTGCGCCCTCCCCTGGCGTTGAGTCGGGCTTGTCCCTCTACAGGAAGAATATTCAAAAATAGTTTAATTATCCCAGTGCGACCCTACCTAGGAGTTGGAGCCTCTAGGAAAGCAACATTAGTAGGAGCGGTAAACGCCGTCCCCCTCCTTCTCCTCCTTCTCCTCATCCTAAGGGCTCCAGCTGCCCCACTAAGGGCTCAAGATGGCCCACAGACGGACAACATGCATGGGACATACGTGCGCGCACACACACACACACATGTTTATATAAGTACATATATAAATAGCAATAGTGGATGCTGTGCTGCGCTATGCTATGCTCTGTTCTGCTCTGCTCTGCTCTGCTCTGCTATGCTATGCTGCGCAATGCTGGGCTAGGCTAAGCTGTGCTGTGCTGTGCTATGCTATGCTATGCTATGCTATGCTATGCTGCGCTATGCTATGCTGTGCTATGCTGTGCTATGCTTTTGCTTTGCCTTCGCTTTTGCCTTCATGTTTGCCTTTGCTTTTGCTTTTGCTTGGCACCCAGGGAGCGCAACTGGGGGAACCGCGCGTTTGCTTTTACCTTTGCTGTTGCTTTTGCTTGGCTCCCAGGGGACTGGGGGAACCGCCCTGGGCGGTTTGCAATGCCCGGCCCCTTTAAGCCAAGCGAGTAAGAACCCTTCTAGGCAGAGCCCAGGTAGGGAACAGATAGTCTCGGGACGATTTGTGTTTAGAATTTGTTGCGCATTTTTTGATATGTTCTGCGTATTCTTTATTTTTCGTAGAAAATCGGTTTGTAGGTGGACATGCCCGACCTAACCCTGGCGCGCTCCGTTCGTCAGGGATCGGGGGCAACGCTGGGGGATGGGCTCCAGGGGGGAATGCATCGACCCCCGTCGTTCATTCATCGCCCGATAGGGGCCCGATACAGTGGAGGATCAGCCGTGATGCGCCTTCCAGCGTGCTGTGCCTTCAGCGCTCCGCAGGATCCATCGACGCGACTACTTTTGAATGGTCCATGTCCAGCATGCGCAGACGGCCGCAGGCGTGATACTGTGGACCTTGTGACAGCCCCCTGAATTCGGTGACTCCTTACTGGAGGCCTGAACTGCGAGTCCTCGGCTCTTTGTGTTTTGATTGCAGATGCATGCGCGTGGCTTCTATCCAGGCA